TTCACTCTCTCTGAGAGCCAACAGGATCTTCATAAACTGTAAAATGATGCTGAAGTGCCCTCATGGAACGTGTCCAACCCCCTATTTGTTAATTCATTGTAATTCGGCCTGAAGAGCAGCCCTTAGCAGCCTGCACCAGTTGTAATTCCCTCAGATATGTACATCTGGCCTGGTTTTTCTCGCCATCGCGTTCCATCAGCCTGGCAGATTGCCCCCGTTACACAGGCAGAATCAGGTGTGGATAAGTTCAGATCGCCTGTGGAGGGAAGTTGTGTGAAGGAAGTATGTCAAGCCAAGGAGTTAAATCAGAGGGCTCACCGGTTCCTTTTTATTTTTGTCAATCAAAAATATGCATGTCGTGTAGATAAAAATGTCCAATGTTTAATGGCCTCAGAAGTATGAACCCCTACACCCGCAAATACAAATAAAAAACTTCTGCTTTTCAACTTCTGCAATTAGATTGTCACGAACTATAAACTCTCGTTTCTGTGTTAACTTCAGATGTCTTACATCTTTTGAACTGTGGAGTCCTTAGCTCTAAAAAAAAAAAACAGGTTGTCAAATTAGCTTCAGAATGCAGCTGATGGGTTTTAAATGCGGTACATGTTCTCCTACCATCAGGGTGGTCTTGTTACTGTGCTGGCAGCTCTTGTTACCAGTCAAGTGCCTTTCCAACAACTCAAATTTCACTTTAAGGCTCCATTGGTCTTGAAATGCAGCCACAAACGGTCACCTCTGGCCGGCGACCTCAGAGGGGACGACAATGTCCATATAATTGGAACCATTGTCGTTTGTTTGCATGAGGGTTAGGGTTATTTCTATACATGCTAGACCACATGCGGTACTTTTGCATGAAAACTTTATGTGAACTGTGTCTGCAATGCAAATGTTGCCATAGCACTGTTGTAGTAATTTACTCTTGCTAAAGAATGAGGGATGATTGCAGTTTTGTTTGTTTCGAAAGAATTTTACCGGAACTTCCATTTTTACTTTTTTAACCAAACATAATGTGGACTGAAATGTCAGTCAACTGAGACCTATTTACTCTTAATTTAAGGGCATGGTCAAGTCTATGTAAATTCAGCATTATGTGTATTATCTAACTAAATTACTTATTTAAAACAGACAGTATTGGGCAGGCAAGGGTGTATCAGACAGATAATTAGCCATCTCCTGTAGTGAGTTCCAACTCACTAGTTACATTATAGCTGGCCTGCTAAGTCCAGTTTAGTTCAGTCCGACAGACTCTCCCTGCAGAAGCAGATGTCTGACTCTTGGGAGTGAAATGAGAGCAGCTTGGTCAAGCTGCTGGAACGCAAACACGAGTGGGATAAGTAGCTAGTTAACAGAGAGGGATGATCCTGCATTTAAATCTAAGGCTGTGCATTCAAGGCAAGGAACACACAAATATTTTTGCAAAGATGCATTTCCTCAAGAGACGTGCCCGCAATTACAGTATCTGATTAAATGCTCTTATCTCAAGCACACTAGTTATTTTATATTAGGAAGAGCTCACTTAGTTATGACAGCAGGTTAATATAACCCCAGAGACTGGTCTTCTTCCTACAAACAATAAACATTGAATACATTTTCTAAGAATTTAAGAAGACAGCTAGCCTGCTTGATTTGATCTCACCTCTTTTCCCTTTAAGTAACAATTTTTCTCAGCGTTGTCCTGACAAATAGGAGTTTTCCATAAACTAACAGTTAGACAAAGCATAAGGAGAGCAGATACATCAACAGACAGTAATTACAATTGGTTTTCCAATAATATATTCATGCTTCTCTTTGCAAGATGAATATTTTGAAATTTGATTTGGCTCTCAACAACAGCCATTTAAGATGTATTCTAACCTTTCCACGCTAAAAATACAATCGAAGATAATAGCACTGATTTCATTCAGTGTTTTTTCAATCCCACATGCATTTCCAGCCCACCTTTGTTACAGCTGGTTTATTTTTTAATGTAATATGAGTCACCTGGTATGGTATATAATCATAGCCATTCTGAGACAAAATAATGAAAGGAAGTATGTGCTAAGCGGAGCATCAAAGTAGTGCCAGGGGTATTGTCGTTGGCGGCTCTAAATCATCTGACTCACGGCTCCAACTCCTACCCACAGCACGGATCAACCTGCTTGTGTTTCCAGTGTCATCATTCAGGACTGTACAGACAGCACAGGCAACATTCATACCGTAACGATGCCAAAGCGCACAAAGGACAGAACTGCAACGAGATATTTGCAGCCGCACGCTGACAGGGAGGCCGTAGCACAGTAGACGTTTTACAATTTCTTCCTCTATCCATCTCCTCACACAATTTTCCAGTCGCCTGTCGGTACATATTCATCCTTCCACACCTTTTCATGCATTTTAAGCATCCAATTTGAAGATCGATGTGGAGAACAGCCCATCTGATTAGTCATCTCTTTATTTAACAGAATGTGACCAAAAGTAATATCTCCCTCTCACTCATGTAGCTTGCCTTCAATTATTTGTACTTTGCAATTCAACTTCCACTCTGTCATTGTTGTCCTGATATTGAATGTTGATCAAATCTGCCCCGTTTTCAGCTGTTAGTACTGAGCACTGACACGATGAACCACAGCTAAATTAAACTATCAACTGAAACAAAAATGAGTGGATTATGAGTGACTCTGATGATTATTCTGTGCTGGAAATGACAGAAAAGCTGCTACAGCTACAGAACAACTATTTGAAAGAAACATCTTAACAAAATCTGTTTACACTGCAGAATTTTGTAAAAGTAGACACTAAAACCAGGACCAGGCTCAGAAAAATCTCAGAGAATGTATGAAGATAGACAGCGGCCAAGCCGAATGCTGCAGCAATGTCTGCTTTGATGTACGGAGATCTGCTTTAACGCAGGGGGAAATAGCTTCTTGAAAAATTTTGACACTGTTATTTTAAGACAAGCCGCCTCGTCGAGTGTTAAATGAATCCGAATCAATATGTGGAACACCAATAAACAAACCAAATCCACTCGGGCACAGTTAATGCCAGGTTGCTGCCATAAATATTCAGCTTCTGGGAGTCAATTTGACTCCTGAAAGCGGTGGGGACTGAGACACAACACTCCAGCTTGTGTGTGAACGAGCTCTGAGGTGCGACGCGTCGCTGCATTGATTGTTGACAGCGAGTGGCGTCGGGGGAGCAGAACTGAGCTGACAGTGGTTTTCATCCCTGCTCAGCTCTGCTGAAGGCAGTCCCAAACGGCTTTTACGGGTCTTTACAAGTGTGTTTTTTCTCTCGCTTAGAAATGAAAAAAAAAAGTCTGAGCAAATGTACCACACAATCGATCTGTGAGAACTGAACGGGGCTACTCTGAAACTGAGATGGAGAAGAACCAGTCTCTGTACAGGAAATACTATAACTATGTTCCAATAAACCCATTTCAAACAGGATAAATTAATTATGTATTCCAGGTTTGTTTTTGTTTTTTCCCCTTCAAAATGTCTTTTTCACACTAAAAACCCGACCATAGCACAAAAAGATGAGGCGCCGGATGCAAGTTGTCACAGCAAAATCTGTGAGCCAACAAGCAAGAGGAGGAAAAATGCTTCTCATCAGCTTGACTGATGAGGTTTGCAGAGCAGTTAGCTGTGAGCCAAGCCTTCCTCCCCATCCTCTCCATCATTCGTCAGAGTGCGAGCAGAAGAATATAAAGCCAAGGCAGCGGAACAAGTAGGCAGCCTCTGTTGTAGACGCCCACTCAGACACATGCTTTTATCCTGAGGGGCTTTTAAAAAATAAAAAAAGCCCCTGAGGCACCCATTAATATCAGACTTTGTGAGATGTTTGGGTAAACTCAAATGTAATTGGATATTTTGTGATCCTGCAACAGGGGGCACTCTGAACCCCCCCCATCCTCCACAGAGTAACTCGTCAATAGCAACACTGAATAATCTCACCTGTCTCACGTGCGCATCAGCAATTAAATCTGCTAAAAGAAGTTACTGGGTGTAAATTATGTAAATGTCTTCTCTGTTCCACCTCGCTGTCCACCGGGGACCAAATGAACTCAGGGCAAATCGACTGGAGCAACAGAACACCCAAAGTCGTCAATGGAAATCGATGGGTTTTCAACACAGTACAAATCTATCAAGAAACTCTAATGTGCAGCCAAGGGCTCTTAAAATATATATCGAACATAGGTTAAAAAAAATTGTCAAGAGGACTCTCAATGAGTGTCAATAATCCAAACATGTAAAAACACACACATTAGTGGAGGCACAAAGAAAAAAAACAGTCTGAAGTGAAAGCAGGGGGGGGTGATGTGCCCTTAACACTCTGATCACACGTTTAAACAACACGCACAGGAAAACAGATGGCTTGTCAGGTGGGCTTTACTATTTTTAATAATTTTCTCTCTGCTACTGAACTTTTCAGCGTGTAATCTGCTGCAGTTCCAGATATCAGCCCCAGGAAAACGCAAGAAACCGGCGTGAGCGGGATTTTTCAAGGAAGACTTTAATAGGAAGTTTAATAATTCAGTGTCAAAATGGTGGCATTGTAAGATGCTGGTTGGAAAACTCTGATGATGAGATATTTTTCAATATAAATATTAAGTTCAGGGACCTTCTGCCTCTATCCTTGGGACCCAAAACTGAAGAGCTTGGTTACATTTTGCAAATATATACTCAACCTATGATCACAATGCCAATGGAGGTTAGTGGAATTTTAATAAAAAAGTGTTTTCACAAGATCTGGTAGCTTGCAAGCCTTTTATACCCCTTGAAAATGAAACCTATAAAGGCATTTCCAAAACTATTTTATGCGTTTATATCATCAATAATATTTGTTGAATGTTTATTGTCAATCTCTTTAGACTATGAACTGACCTCTTTTTATGTTTGGGGCTGTTTTGTTTTAATCATATCATCATAATTTCTGACCAGTCGTCACAGCAAAAGTTTTTTTTTTTCCCTCTCCTACTTGTTATCGAGTTTTCCGCTTAGAGATTTCACATGAGGAACAGTTTACCGTCTCAGAGAGGAGGGCCAGGACATGCGGGGCTTCTTCAGGCCGGGCCGCAGCTTCTCCAGGGTCCGGTTGCGGCACAGGTAGCGCTCGGTGTCGGAGTTGAAGCGCTGCTTGATCCGGATGTGGGTCCGGGGCTGCCGCCACAGATGCTTGGGCGGCTTGGCGAGCCCCGCGCCCTCCCGGCTCAGCGTGGCGCACTCCATCTGCGCCTCCAGTTGGACCGCCAGCGCGTTTTGCTCGCTTTTCGGATTTCCGAATCGGGTCAAAATGAAAAGCGTCCGGGCAGGATGAGGTTCCCCCGGCAAACTGGAGGGGTTGGGTGGGTGGTGGGTGGTGGGAGGGGGGACGCGCACTCTTTACAGCGCGGAGGAGAGCTGCGCGCACGGCATGATGGAGCGCTGCTGTCCACGAGCTGGAGTGCTGAACCCACCGCGAGCTTCTGACTCAGTATCAACTCCCCCCGTCTCTTTTCCCGGTCCCTGCCTCCCTCTTCTCTTATCTCAGCCCGGCGTGTCTCGTTTCCTGGTCCATCTCTCCTTTTTTATTGCGCTCTGCCTCGCCAGTTTCTCTCTCTCTCTCTTTCTCTCTCTCTCTCTATCTCTCTCTCTCTCTCTCTCTCTCCAAAACCTCTCGCTCTGCGTCCCTTGGCCAGCTTCCTCCTGCCATTTCCATCTGTTTCCCTGTCTGTCGCTGTCTTAACTGACAAACTGCCAATGTGGATCATTACACAACGTTATGCTGTTCTTAAACAGAGCTTGTTATGCTGGAGTCCAGAGGAATTTATGTTGAGCATGTATTTCTCTCCTTATTCAGTTCCAGAGACAAATAGTTTCAAAACCAGAATGAATGGATCTAAGTTTCCGATCAGTTTCACGGAATAAACAAAGCAGAGTTTTACTGGTCAACATGGATGACACCAATTCGGACAAAAAAAAAGCAACCGTTTTAAAGCGTAAACAGTTAGAAGCCCTGGAGAAGTTGAGTACAGCTAACTTTTACGCCCTGTGCATTTATAAAATGCCACGTCAAAACATTTGGTTTGTAAAAGTCTGCCCCCCGAAATATTTCACTCGTATCTGAAGAGAAAACACTTTTTGACCGGCTTCACTACATGCTGACAGGCATTTTGGATAATTTATGATATGCAGTTATTGAAATAAAACCGTAGCCTATCGAGCACTGACCATCTGCAGAGTGTGCTGTCACCGAGTCCAGATTGCAGTTTATGTGTCGATCTGATTTGTTCACTTGCAGACTGGCCAAGTGGGTTTCAAAAACTGGCCGAAATATTGAATTAGAAGCCATTTCCAATACCCAAATGAAAAACACTGTCATCTTGTCTTAATGTAAATGTTTATCTCACAAGGGATTAGAGCTTTTTTAAAAGGGACGCCTCGAGGAGATATGAGCCAATACAGGCAAGGATGATAGAAATGACATGAAAATAGTGACAAAAACAGTGACTTTAGAAGTCATGGACCTGTTAATTAGCATGGTAGATCAATACCGAGGAATACAGCCTGTAACACACTGTAAACACTGAAGACAGGAAACATTTCTGATATTATTTTCTGGATGAATTGGGTGCAACAGACTTGTACTAATCTGGCTTTATCAGGATGGAACGAAAAGAACTTAAAATTGTCCAAACTACTGGAAGTCCACAAATCCTCCTCACAATTTTGGAGGGAATTCATTAGCTAAATCATCCTTGAACAAGATTTTCATCCAAAAAGAGTTCATGTACGAAAAACTGAATATTATTATACAAAAGAGTTCACCAGTTTCTAATGCCCACACACATATACGTGCCGTTTCTAAATGTAGAACCAGGGGGAATGTTTATGTCTAGACACAAAGGAGGAAAAGGCAACAGGGACACTCAGAGCTGTGACTTCTCCTGCTGCAGTAAATCCCTCTCATTATCACCTGAATACATAAATGCATTCAGCATTACTCTTTGTGGTAAGATGCTTGCGTCATTGTCTCATAAAAAGCTTGACTTCTTCAAAATGGAATCATGCTCCTTCTTTTTTTTCTACTCTCTCTTCAGTGTGCCTCTGCACTGAGTCTCAAATAGCACACCGCATCACACAGAGCTAATGAGCTGGAAAAGATCCATCAGCTCACCTCAAAAAAGAAAAGCACATTTTCCATGGCTGTGAATGATCTATCAAGCATAAAAGAAAACACATGGCTGCTGGGATGGATGTGCGTTCATTCTCCAAATTAGCAAAGCAGGTTTGGAGAAATAACAGTCTGATGGGAACAGAAGCTAAAGGTTGGAAAACATCTATTGGGACAATCATCTATAAATGTCAGCTCAGTCCTGAGGGTAGATATTGTTAAAACTCCCCATCACTGTGGGTGACAGAGTGGGTTTAGGTTATTCATGAAGGCTTGCTTCCTCCATCCTCTAGCTCATCAGATTTTTTTTCTTTTTCTGTTGAGTTGAATAAAACCGAACACAATTTCTCCGAGAAAGATTTCTTGAAAAGGTAAATGCTTTTTTGGTGACTGAGGACAGGTGTTCCAAAGATGTCCAACATAAAAAAACAAGAAAAACTTCAGAAAGTATCAGATCAACTGAACAGGTAAACATGAAAAGACAGAACTGATTGTCTTTAACTTTTTAGTAGACACTTTTAAGAGGGCTTTTTTCAGCAGTGGATTTCCAGATAAAACTCCGGTAAGCTGTTCAAAACCCATAGGGGCTAATTATAATCTATAATGTATAACGACAAACATCTGAATGAACTGTTATGAAGCAGAGGGGGCGTTTGCGTGTGCGTGCGTGACACTGACCGGTGCTCATCGTGGCTGGCTAGCGCCCGGCTGTACAGCACCTCCAGCCGGTCTAACGGCAGGCCGTATGCTGCAGATGGCCGCCGGTTGTCCCACGCGTGGTCCTGACTCGAGTGTCTTCTGCTTATGGGAGGCAGCAGCACGGTGCCGGAGAAACGCCGCCGCACCACCTGGTGGAGAGCCGGAAGAGACTCCCGCCGACACTGAAACCCAAAAGACAGCTTGTAAGAGAAGGGGTCCAGATTTCACCGACAGCGAACCTTAAAAAAAAAAAAAGCCCTCCTGAAACCAACCAAGGCATGAAAACATACAATCTCACTGTGCAATTCCCAGTTCAAACAGCGGTTAGATTAAAATGACACAAAGTTAGAAATATTCTGGTTTAATCTCCTCGCAAGAAATTGTACCCAAACAACTGCTACAGGCCCATTTTAAAGCTATAGTACTGAAAGTTACCAAGCTGGAAAAGTCAAGAAAAACATTTTAAAATGGGCATTAAATTGCAGGAAAACACTGTCATTTTCACTCCCTTGTTTAGAAACAGAGTAAGAGAAACCAGGAAAGTGTAACATTTCAGAGCTTTTTACCAGTCAGTAGCGCTCACAGCTTCATTGACTGAGTTGACGCCACTGAAATGGCCTCATCTTGTTGCCTCTCCCCGGCTGGTGACATGCCACATATGTCACGTGTAGATCAATTTTCAATGAATAGCTGTTGTTTATTAGGTGACAGCAGTTAGATGAATGATTGCATAATTAGTAAGATTACTGTATAATAGTGGAATGAAGATGGACAGAAACAATTAAATTGTTAATTGGAATGAATTTCATTACAAATAATTGGTCATTAATGTTTTATGATCAAAAATCTTAATGGCATGTAATTAGAAATTAGCAATATTTCAAAAATTTGCTTAAATTTGCTTAAAAATGAAGAGCTCCTTCTTTCGTTTAGGAAGGTTTACTCAATCAGACAATTTACGATAAATGAGGGAATAATTCACTCAGAATGACAACATACACTTTTGAATAAATTGTCATCCATTTTAATTAGTACTCTTTTTTTAAACCACACACTTTGTTGTGCATTTGCTTCTAATTAGATTGAGCATGTTTGCTAACACACTATATTGAGACCAGGGAGAACGCTAGGATTTCTGACGGCGCTGCCAGCGTTCTACAGGCTCGTGTTTACTCTTTCTCTCCGGGAGCTGGCTCACACAAACAATCTGATCCGAAAAAACTCTGGAGAAAGATTCTGCACGGCTGCGCTACATGCCCATAAAAACAATGCGTAGTTTAATCACAGATATTAAATAATATTACAATAAGTTATTCATATTTGTGTAAGATATACACGGGGAAACGCCATCTGTTACTGTTACTATGCATTTACTAAACACGATTGTGGGTCTGCGCATTTATGACTTTAATAGATCAGATAAGAAGTGTCGCCATTTGAAGATAGATTCTAAGATCATCCCTGTCACAATAACACATGGTTCAATAAAAAAACCAACAAGTATTGAATTCATTTTGAACCCGAATGTCTTAGTTGGGGCACATGTGTTGTCTTCAGACTCAGTCCTCAGGGCATACTGCAGAGTCAGCACAAATAATGGTCACGTTTGACACTAAATAAGTAGTTTGTTTGTCTTCTTGCCCAGGCATCAAATTGGCTTTTTTGTTTGTGCGTGCTCTCAGCAAATCCATTTAATGTCCAGTGATGCAGAGCAAATTGATAAGACAAGGGGGCAAACAGACAGCAGCTTTGTCTGGCTGACAAACAGCCCTCCGCGTCTGCTTCCTTGTATACACAGTAAATAACCAAAATTACTTCTTCCCATTGATGTCAAATTAGACTTAGGTGAGCAAGAAAAAAAACGCGTGCACCTCGAAATCCATGTCCCTTTTCGCCACTTTATCAGGGTGATTTGTGCTTCGGTTGGGTTCTGAGAGTTGACTTCAGTGAGAAGATGGATATCGATCGGTCATCCGTCTCTCCGGTGCAGTAAAGCATCAAAAACAAAACCTGAGTGCCAGCCCTCTGTCCTTCTTGGCTCACAATAGACACCCGTCATCACCGACTGTCTCTGCGTCCTTTGATTTTTGTGCTTTAACACTGGTTGTTTTAGCCCGGTCACCACTAAGAAATAGGGCCTTTGTACTGGAGATGGGTGACACAGGTAAATCTAAGTTACCCTCATAGAGGGGTTTGTATGAAATGTAGGAATACCTTTTCAGAAGTGTGATTTACCCTAGATCCAGTGACAATGGAATTGACCACAGCTCCTTTTTGGTCGTCTCACAGTTGTCTGGTCACAGTGGGAAAAAGGTATGTACACTTAATAGTCCACTTAGGAAGGCTACAGAACCCTTCCATTTATTTGAAGCATCATGGTGCCTTAAATGGAGGGGGGCGTATAAAAAGAATCTCAGTGAAAGTGTTGTCCCTTTTGTCA